TAATTATGACGTCAAAATGTGACGTCACTGAAACCGCTCTATTGATGTCCTTACGTTGATTCAACAGTTATGAGTATGTTAAACTAAATGCACATGTGTAAGGGGCCTATGGGCTAATATGGTGAATGCTTTTTATATTATTTCATGATACCGTAGGCTGGTCTGACTTCTGATGCTCCTGGTATAACAAGGTTCACTCCAGTTGATTCTCCTTTACCACGTCCAGAGGAGGTTAATCCTGAGATGCTATCATTAGCTCTAGAACCAGAAGTAGCTGCTATAGCTGCACAGCATCAGTCAGAAGTATCAGGAACACCTCCAGAGAGATACATGGTAGTTGATATAGGAGGAGGTACAGTTGATATTACTGTACATGATAAGAGCACTGGGAGAATTAGTGTCCTATTACCACCAATGGGTAACACCTGGGGAGGTACTACCATCAATGAAGCTTTATCAATGTTACTGGAAGAAGCAGTAGATGATGGAGGCTTCCAATCTTTTATAGAATCTGACCCCATCAGAGCCATAGCTACACTAAATAAGCTCTTCTTCGAAGAATTTGAAGAGCGAAAAAAGAGATTTGGAAATGAAATTGAGGGCTTTAGCAAAATCACATTATCATTACCAAGAACTTTTATGAAGCACTATGGTAGTGATAAGCTACATGAAGCAAGCAAGCTACATATGTGCTATGATCCAGGAGATGATTCCTTAAGCATAGGATACAACTTACTAGAAGAGAAGATATTCAAATCCACAGTTGATAAGATCATAGAGTGTGTGAGAGCAGCATTTGATGAGTTAACGGATCATATTGATACAGTTTATCTGGTAGGAGGGTTTGGAGGGTGTAGGTTTGTTAGACAAAAGATCGAAGAAGCTATTGCTCAGCATTGTGGCAAACTATATGATAATATAGTGTGTCCTATCTATCCAGATCTTGCTGTTGTATCAGGAGCAGTAATGTGGAGGAAAGATCCTAACATAATCCAATCACGTGTTGCTGATGCTACCTATGGGATTGGATGTCAGCCTGAATTTGACCCATCAATACATGATGAGCATTACCAGTATCTAGATGAAGAAGGCTATAAACAACGTTGTAAAAATGTCTTTAAGGTATTTGTACTTAAAGGAGAAGTACTAAAGGATGAAGTGTATAAAACCACACTAATACCTCCTTCTCAAAGCCTCACACAAGTAACCATTCCTATATACTGTACAGGAGATGATGGAGTACAGTATACAAGGGATAAAAAAGGTAAACAAACAGTACGTAAGATTGGTGAGCTGATACTTGATGTTCCTAATCCTGATAATATACCAAGAGATGAGAGAGATGTAGACATATTTATTGATTTCA